TTTATTGTTTTTATGTTTTTTTTTGATTTGGAAAAAGAAAAACATAATATAAAAAAAGAAAATGTAATTAATATGTTTATAAATGTTCTATTTTAAAATCAATATGTTTTGTAAAGATTTAGCCGTTATTCAGAAGATTCTGAGGTGTACAGCGTTTGAGAAGTGTACAACGTTGTAGCACTGACTAATTGTTATTCCACAGACTTGACTAATTGTTCAAAGTTTAAGGACTGACTTTATTAAAATTAATACAATCTACTTAAATATTAATTATATTTTTATTTTATGTTATAATAATATCCACTTCATATAAAACCTTTACAGGTTTTTATCCTCCCTGAACAATTCGTATCACTGATTAAAGTCAAATTATATTTATAGTATATTTTTGAATATTTTTATAATTATTGATTAAACAGAAATTGCAACTGTTTTTCTATGTGATGAATATCTAATCGCTTTTTTTGCTTTTGTGCCCAACAATTTTGTATCAATTCATTCAACACAATTGGGATTGTATCACTTATATCAGGACGCTTTCCAGATGAGACAAACTCGGCTATTTTCCAAGGAAATTTGAATGTACTGATAGGATATGCCTCTTCCCAAGAAAAACACTCAAACATGGTTATTGCAAATGAATAAACGTCTGCACTTTTTGTGTATTTTTCCTGTTTTAACACTTCAGGCGCCATGTAAATTGGTGTTCCAATTCCTTTTGTGAAGGTCATATTAGTCATCAATAAATTGACATTTCTTGCACTTCCAAAATCTGTCAATTTTGCATTCACGCCATTCAAATCTAACGACAACACAAGGATGTTGTCTGGTTTGATGTCTCTGTGTAGCATCCCATTTTCATGAAGATATAAAATTCCATTTGAAGCATCGAACATGAATTTAACACGAAGTTTTATTTTAATAACTTCACCCTTTTTATTTTTCATTAAATCTTGTAAACTGCCATACTGTGCAAATTCGGTGACCATACATATCTTGTTTGGTATGAATACAGCACCATAAAAGTAAACGATAAATTCACTTCTAAACTTGTCTAACATTGAAACTTCATTCTCAAATTCTTCCATTTGGTGTTTAGAATTGACAAAATTTTTCATCTTTTTGATAGCAACGATATTTCCTCTGAAAATACCTTTAAACACAACACCAAAAGAGCCTTCGCCAAGTTTCTTCTCTTCAATCAACTCGTCTGGATCAAGTCGTGTTGATAGTTTGGTGGTGTATTTAAAATTCACATGATATGCACACGTTGTACTATCACTCGTGGTAAAGAGATAACTAACAACAAAAGTACTGTCTATCGTCGATGTACACAATGGACTAAGAAATAGACTAAATTCACATGCAAATTTTGGAGGAATTGTTACAATTGAAGGTTCAAAACGAATTGTGTATTTTTCAATATCACATTTAGAAGTGAACTGAATCTTGACTTTATGGTTTGTTGTGTTTCCAATAGAAAACAGATTCTTGATTTGTTTGTTAACATCAATTTCGTTTTCGTCCAAGTTATCGTCGGTGATCAAAAATCCTTCGTTTTTGGTGTGAATTATCAGACCATTTGTCATTTCAACAAATTTCATGTTGGTGTGCTCCAATTTAAAGAGTGTAATTTTTTTGGTATCTCTTTTGTGCTTAATGACTTTAACCATAACAAATAAGACCAACGCTGTGATCAACACAAGAATTGAAATGACAATGACAATTATTAGAAGTATCACCCACCACACTGCCGTTTTTGAACAAAATGTGCCATCGTCACTTGGTGAATACCAAAATGTACATGATGAACATTTTGAGTCTTTTGTTTTGGTGCACTTTGTGATGGTGTTATAACTCACACAACTGGTGCTTTTGAGCACATATGTGTCATCACATGATGTGCACCGAGTTGATTCTGAACACTTTGCACACCCTTCAACACACTTCTGACACTCGTTTCCATTGACTGTGTAATACCCGTCTTTACACATTGAACAGCCACTTTCAGTCACTTCAACGGCACACGTCGATATCGAAGAACGCGGAAGACAATCACCATTACTCGTTTTGTAGTTTGTTGCATTGCATTTAATACACGAGTTCTCTGTCACACACTCACCACACTTGACATCACACAGCACACAATCTGCTCCCTTCTTGTAATACCCAACTTTGCAAACCAAACAGCCGTTCCCATTTGGCACTTTTCGTGCACAAGTGTCATTCAACTCATCATTGGATTTGCAGATGTGGTCACTCAAAAAGAAACCATCTACACATGACAGGCACATCGTTGAATTCAAACAACTTTCACAACTTGAGTTGCACGTCTCACATTTGTGTGTCGATACATTCAGGAAGGTATTTCCATCACATTTGATACACCCTACCGGAATTGCCATTCCACAATTCACATCAACTGTTGATGGCTCAACACAACTCACATTGCCATCATATGAGTACTTTAAAGAACATTCGACACACATACCATTCACATACTTTACACAATTGTCTATTTGTGGTGCACACTTCCCATTTTCTTCGTTATTTATTCCTTCTGAACACACATTTTTGACACAAACACTGCCATCTTCTTTCACGTAATACGTCTTATCACACTTCTCAGTGGTTTTGAACGAACACAACAAACTTCCTTCATTGTTGGTTGTGCAGTCGTTACAAATGTTGTTTTGTACATAAAACCCATTTTTGCATTCAACAACATTTGAAAGACTGTGAACAACAACATTTC